AGGGAGGAACTGGAATCCATGTTCCATTTCTTCTACTTTATAATGTCAATGAACTATTCAAAAATAAATTTTTAGAAATGTTAAATTATTACAGCAGGTTGTTTGTGTTGCCTTTGCTTGGGATAAGGGGAGGGTACTTTCCTAGAGAATCTGTGACTATAGGCCTGTCGTATCTTTAATTTTTTAATATATTAAATGGCATAGAAGACAGTTAATGAAGTGCTAAATGTGGTTCTGGGTTTTTTGGTTACATAATCTAGATATCTAGGAATAAATACAAATATTTTCATGGCGTGTATATTCTGTGGCATTATTTTTAAAAAGGGAAGTTTTATTGAATATAAATTTAAATGTGGAATTACAAAAAAAAATTGAGAATGGCAAGAGCTGATCGAAACCCACATAATTATTTAGGAGAAGAAATAGGATAGAAAGCATACTTGGAAAATTTTTTCCTGACAAAATTGACACAAAATGCAAATCTTTAACTCTAAGAATCCTAAGTATCAAACAGGAAAAACAAACCTAAATTTCTGAGGCAGACACATTTAACTGATGCTCTGGTGTGCTGAAGATAAGTTTAGACGTTTAAAGACAATCAGAAAGAAATGGCCTTATCTGCCAACATAAATGTTAGTTTTCAAGTTTCCCATACATGGTGATGAAGCTGTTTTTTTAACATACATTGTACTGGAGAATCCTCACTAAACCATGTGGAATTCTGTTCTTTTAAGCACGAGTACTCTGATTCTTTCCAGCCAAGGCATATTGACATATCTCTTTGGCTGTACTAAGTGGTTGTATGTCAATATTCTAGATAGGCTCAGCCCCGTTCCAAATGAAAACTAGCTTGCTGTACCCTGAAAAGTTTGCATTCCCACTGTCGGAGTCAGGGTAGAGCAATCCAAATTAAATAAATAATCTTGAAGAGGAGTAAACTAATCAGAGCAAAATTAAGGAACTTAATTTTTACCAGTAGTCTTAGTTTGAGTGGAAGGCAACACAGACAGCGTTTACTCATCCTACCCCTACACATACGGTCATTCCCAGGAGAGTGATACATTTGCTGTGTTGGTGAGTGTATATGAACATGTCATATTCATCTATGTCCATAATTTATGTCCTTCACTCCTATTTTGTTCCAAGAGCTTGAGTAAATGTATAATAATGCATTGCCATCATTATAGTACTATCAGAGTATTTTTAGAGCTCTAGAAATTCTGTATTACATACATATTTATCACTACCCTGAGCCACCAACCTCTGGTAACCACTGATCTTTTTGCTGACTCTCCATAGTTTTTACCCTTTTTAGAATTTAATGTAGTAAGAATCGTATAATGTGAAATAGCCTTTTTCACATCCTTGATTCAGTAATATAAATTGAAATTCTTTCATATCCTCTCATGGCTTGATAGTTCCTTTCTTAGTGCTTATGTTCCATGTTCTGGCTGTAACAGTTTATCTGGTCACTTACTGAATGCAAGTTGAATTCTTCCAAGTTTTTTGTAATAGTGAATACAGTTTCTGTAAATGTGTGCAGACTGTGTATAGATATGTATAGATACAGAGCACAATTGTAGGATCATACAATAAGCATATTTATTGAGGAAAAAATAAAAATCCATGCATAGTTTCTTCACCATGTGGATATAGTATAAAATTTCTGAAGCACCTTCAGATAATGCTGAAACTCCCCTTGCCTTTTTAGTAATTAAGTGCGGTCGTTTTATGACTTTGGTTTGACGGTGGGTAGGAAATAAGTCTAAGATTGTCATTATTATTTAAAAATATTTATTTATTTGAACTGTAGAGAATGGGTGGGGAGAGGGACAGAGAAATAAAGATTAAAAAAAAATCCTTGAGCTGAGTGTTCACTTTGCAAATGGCTGAGATAGTGGGAGCCAGCCCAGGTTGAAGTCAGGAGCCTGAAACTATATCCTGGCCTACTGTACTGGTGACAAGGAGCCATGTGCATGGACCATCTTCTGATGCCCTCCCAGTCGAATTAGCAGCTAAAACAGCATTGAAAACACAGGAGACAGAACCTAATCTGGCTCCATATGGGATGCTAGTATCACAGGTCATGGTTCAATTTGCCCTACCACAACATTGACCACTAAGGTTAATTTTTTTAAAGATCAATTTTTCTTTTTCTTTCTTCTTCCCTTCCTCCCTTACTCTCTCCCTCCCTCCCTCCCTTCCCTTCCCTTATTTTTTTGTTTGTATATCTGCCTTTCCAATATAAAGAAATAGAAAAAGATATAAAGAGAAAGATCTTTGGTCCACTGGTTCACTCTCCAAGTGGTTGCAGCAGCTGGAGTTGAGGCGATCCAAAGCCAGGAGCTTCTCCTGAGTGTCCCATGAGAGTGCAGGGTCCCAAAGCTTTGGGTCTTCCTTTACTGTTCTGCCAGGCTAGAAGCAGGGAGCTGGATGAGAAGTGGGCCAGCTGTGACCAGCGCCCGTATGGGAGCCTGTGGATAAAAGTTGAGGATTTAGCCACTAGACTATTGTACTGGGCTCTGAAATTTTTTTATAAGCCAGTTTTCTCCAGTTAAACTCTGTTAAAGAAAGACTTTTAAAAAAAGAAAAAAAAAACCTGAGCTTGTGGTACAAAAATATTACTCAAAGTTTTCTTAAACATATTAAAATATCTAAGAAATGTAATCATTGTAAAAATGTAAAATTTTTTGATTTATTAAATATAAAGCATGATGTTATTTCATACTCTGTACTCAGAGTATGTCATAGGCAAGATAATAGCACATACCTGTCATTTATGATACAAGGTCGATTGCTAAGCTTTGTAAATTAAAGAAAACTGGTAAAAAGCACTTGAAAACAAAACTGGCCCATTCAGTTTTGGTTTTTTGTTTGTTTATTTTTTTGCTTTATAACTGGTGTACAATGGTATAACAGACACTTGCTTAGTTCTGTTGGTTCTGAACTATCAGGAACTTTTGGAAAAATCTTTTAATAGAGCCCAGTGTAATGGCCTAGCAGCTAAAGTCCTCACCTTCAATGTGCCAGGATCCCATATGAGCACCTGTTCTAATCCCTGCAGCTCCACTTCCCATCCAGCTCCCTGCTTGTGGTCTGGGAAAGCAATCAAAGATGGCTCAAGGCCTTGGGACCCTGCACCTGGGTGAGAGACCTGGTGGAAGTTCCTGGCTCCAGGCTTTGGACTAGCACAGCTCCAGCCATTGCGGTCACTTGGGGTGTGATCCATCAGATGGAAGATCTTCCTCTCCGTCTCTCCTCTATCTGTATATCTGACTTTGTAATAAAGAAAAATCTTTTAAAAGTTCCTGTCTATTGACAACTATATAGGCTCGCTATATTTTTTTGAAAAATTGGTGTAGAACAAAAATCTGTATGGCTTGAGAACTAGGGGGAGGAGGGTGGCATTGTTCAGTTCTTTGTCCTCCTGTTCATCTAATATTGTGTTTACTGCATTAAAAGTTATTTGTGATGTGTTACTAATATGTCTTAAATACATAGTATGGATGTGTGTCCTTTGTTACTAAGCAAAAATTGTCATGCAGACATTACTGATTTATGACGTTAGCTTTTGGTATGATCTTTTCTTCTCTAAGCCTGTGTTCCCCTGTATTTAAATTCATATAGTAGTAGTAAATTTTGCGTGTGTGGGTTGTGTATGTGAGAGAGAGAAATGAGGCATAACACATGACAGCATGTGCTCAGTGAAACTCAGGTGCAGTGTTAGCTCATACTACTGCTCCTATGGTCGTGTAAGTATTATTGATGCCATTTAATATTTGAGATTTGCTGACCAATTTTGAATGTCAGGTTTTGACATCTCATAAAAATGGGCTCAGAAACATGCATATGCACTACATGTTAGATACAGTTTCTAGGCTTCATAAATTTCTTTAATTCTGTCAAGTTCCTGATCAGAACCTATCCCTGGTCAGTAACAGATGCACTTCAGTTGGAAACACAATAGATGGGAGAAACTGGAAAATAGCAACTTGTCAGCTCACACTTACCTAGTGACCAAATGCAAGTTAGCAAATTAGTATTTCCTTTTTAAGTAAGTAAAGTAATGTGACAGCTTCCAACCTTATGCAGATCATTTAGTGTGCTAGATCAATTACAGATTCCTGATCCATAGTTCTTTGAGAGAGACATTCAAAATTTCTGGAGAGATTTTGACTTTCCCTAATGCACTGATCTTGAAAACCAAAAATTTAAGAATGATGTTTCTTATGTCATGGAAAATTTTATATTTAGTTATTCATAGTTAAACCTCAAACATGAAAGATAGTATTACACAGGTAATCGAAATGTGAATGGGGAGAGGAAAGGAATTCAGGTTTTTTGGTGATTCAAGAACATCAGCAAAAATGAGTGATCCAGTTCTCTGTGGTGGATCAGACTCTTTTAAGTGCCTTAGTCTTTTTTATTTCCTAACCTCAGTGTTTTGGGCACAAATTAGGTAATCTTTCTAGTCCGTTGTATTATATGAATGCTGTAAGTCCTTCAGCAAGTAGTATATAATGTGAACATTTATATCTACTATTTTGGTTAATTAGTAAAAACTGATTTGCTTTTTTTCATCTACACTCTTATAATCCATTGTATTTAAATTTTAAAGTTCTTTGTTTCTTGTTTAAATGACTCTAAGTGAAGTACAGTTAGTCTGTAAGTTGTTTTGAAAAGGGAAATATAACTATTTTTTTAAGCAAAATAAAATTCTTCAAACTGCCTCTCATTCTTAAATATCTGTTCATTTACTTGCTGAGCCTTGGCTAGTCAAGGAAAGGGTGTACAACTCTAGTTATGAGAATTCAGCCCATTCATTTTAAAATTGCGTCCTTTTACCTCCTTAAACTCCGAACTATGAAATCTAACACAAATTCTGTAAGAACATCTGAGGTAGATAATTAAAGTATAATTAAGTTTAAATGCCTTGGTGAAGGAATATAAAAATTATTTAAATTCAATCGGCTAGTACATTTGCAGTTTTCTTTTATTAGGTGTGAAATCTAAGAATCCCCTGCCAACTCTTGAGGGCTCTATCCAGAATGTTGAATTGAAGTACTGCAGCACATCATTGGTCAAATGTGCCTCTGGGACCGTGGGATCAATAAAAATTTGTGCCAAAGCCCCAGGTATGTGCAGCTGGACCATGTAAAACTTTATTGCCTGGATAGGAGAATTGGCCTTGCATTTTACAAGGAGCGTTACTGAAATAAGAATTTACTCATTGTTCCTATGAATCAGAGGCTTTAATTTTTTTTTTCTTAACATTTTTTATTAGTGCCAGGATGATACTTCTTTACTTTACCAAGTCAATATTTTATTTAAGGAAAAAACATTTTTAAGTGTGTTAATGGGGAGAACAACTAATGTTTATTCCTAAACTTTTTTGGGAGGAGTACTCAGTATAATTATATAAGATATTAAAATTAAAATGTTGTTAGTATGTTAGAATTGAATGCAGACTCCATCTGTTTTAAGGTAATTGACTTCACCTTCCTCCCAGTATTTTATAACATTTTCTTTAAACAATTCAGTTTTATTGAGCACAAGCTAAATTTCAAGATAAGTTTATAGTGCTACAGATTCTGATGAATTTTTGAAAGCAATATGTTAAAATTGTTTCCTATAAACTTTTCTGAACGTGTTCTATATTTGTTAACAAAATGCTAAAATTTTTATGTTAGCAGTTAAAAATGCTTTGGATTCTATAGGTGAGACTCTTGGATTGTAGCTAAATGTACTACTTGAATTATGAATCTAAGTATAATGTTACAGTATTAGTATATTTTTAAGATCTAGTGTCCTTGGCCTACTGCTATATGTTACTAAGATTTGTTGTTCCTTAAATATTTTTATGCAGGTGAGGGTGGAAAGGAAAAGTTGATTCCTTTGCTTCAAGGTCCTTCTGACACAAAAGACCTTCACAGTACCAAGTGGCTTAATGAGAGTAGAAAGCCAGAGTCCCTCTTGGCTCCAGATTTGATAGCCTTCACAATTCAAGTACCACAGTGTATGGACTACTGCCACAATTCTGGTAGGTACAAAAATGACCATTATTCCTTTATTTTGCATTTTTTCCAGAAAGGGCTTTTAAGTGGGACGTTTCTTCCACCTTTTTTAGTGACTTACTGTCTTTGGGATATTCCTGAAAGTTCTTTTTAGAATTCAAGTGAATGTATCAGTTTTGATAACTGAAACGTAATTACAAACAGTAATGGTTTTATATTAGTATTTAGCTGCATCTATTACACTTATGCTCAGATTTATGTCTTTGAAGTCCAATGAAGTTTTAAAACAGCATACCATGTAGTATGTATTTTCACAGACATTTTATTTCGGTTCATTGTATATAATATGTAAATTTGATTGACCTCTAGTTTTGTAAAATGAAAAAGATTGTTCATCTGGAACTGAGAAACAAGCATGGATGTGATGATCTCATCTCAGAATTATATCTTTTTAGATAATCCTTTGCCTAAAATCAACTTTCAGTTCATTTTACTCAAAATACTAATACCAGATTCATACTTTTCTAGTTCAGAAAAAAATGCCTAGAGGTTTAGTGACAAATGGGGAATAAGAGGTATGCTTTGTAGCAGCCTGAGTGAAGTTACCTAGCATGTGCTTAGTAAAACCACGATGGTCAGTCACTGAGGCAGTGAGCAAGAAGGCAATATTAAGATGTCCTAAATGAAAATGAAATCTTATTATTTTCTTTAGAATTCATTGGCCAATGAGTGGTTCAGATAGCTGCCTAGCAAGTAGAGCTCTATTAGCATTTTCAATCAGTCTTGTAACTTAGACAAAGTATTTTAAGCATTACTAAGGAGAAAGTACAAACAATGAAAAACTGATTATTTAGAAGGAAAATAGAGGCGAATATTAAAGCAGTGCAGATGTACAGACAGGAACAGACAAATGATTTGAAAGATGAGGTTTTTTTGACATGTTGTCTGCAACTGAATGGTAACCACTTTAGAAGTTGGAAATTAATCCTCTGAGGATGCCAAATCAATACCCGTCAAAAGACAGTACTCAAAAAAGAAGGTGTTAGCCTGTTGAAAGTGGGCATGGGACTTTAATGATGTGAGCACGAAGCCAATTACTAAATGGATTCATAAACAGCAAATTATATAATTCTTGCATCAGCATTCAGTTTTGCTCTTTTAGACAAAAATAGCCTTGGGAAACCCATAACTGAATAGATGTGACTGTGAGCCAAGTTAGGTTTTCTTTTCTTTTTCTTTCCTTTTTGTTTTTTAATTTTAAAAGGACAGTTTCATGGTGTGGTTGGGTAGAGAGAGATCTCCATATAGCAGCAAGAGCCAGCTCTGGGCTAGGATGAAGCCAAGAGCCTAAGGTGCCATTTTGTCATATACAAATTTTGAATGAATGAGTCAAACCTATTTAAGTAATAATCTTTCTCCCAAGAGTAGTCACAGTATTTTTTTTTTTTGTGACTTAAGCTAATTTCTAGAGTCACAAAATTGTATTTACATTTTTAACCCTTTGTGTAGATCTAAAAATGAATTGGTTTAAGAAAAATTACCTGATATTTGTGATATTTTTATTATAAAATTTCATACTGTTCCTAAGAAAATTCACTTCATCTTCAACACTAATGTTATGTTCAGTGATATGTTTATGGAAGTGTTTATGGAATTTTAACGTGACCATAGATTTGATGATTTGAAAATATTCCTTTGGGCATGTTTTAATCCTAAAATGTAGTGTTTTTACTTAAGCTACATTTATATATTTATTTAGGACATGTTTAAGTTTAAATTTCCCATCCACCTTGAACTACCACACACATTTGTGGCTTAAGTATTTATGATATGATTTAGAGGCCCATAAGTATTATTTTTAAAAGCTCATTTTAATATGTTTGATTAATCTTTTATTCATGTAGTAAGATTTAAATTGTGTATGTGTGTGTAAATCCTATATAACTAAGTAAATTATTTATTAACAGGCCTTCAAGACTTTATTAAATATGTCATCTCTTTTCCTGTGTCTAAATTTTTCTTTTTCACAATACTCTGTGCGTATGCAAGTGAACACTGACAAGTATTTCTCATTTACTTGTGTTTTAGTTTTTCTTATTACTCACTACAGCCCATCATGCTGTGTTATTGATGTACCCTGATTTTTTTCCCCCTGCCGTCAGAATCTTAAGCTTCATGTAAGCTGGAGTTTTTGTCTTGTCTGCTTACTGCTCTATCCCCAGGATGTAGAACAGTGCTTGCATACTAAGGTAATAATAATATTTAGTGAATGAATGAGCAAGGAAGTAAAGATAACATTCATTTTTCTTTCATTTTTTTAAGCTGGAGTAATTAATGGCAGTAACAGAGGTATCTGTGCTGTTGGGAGAGGGTGATGGAAAGAGAAGGGATGAACAAAGGTGCTAGGTAGTTAAATCTTTCCAAAAACTTTGATCAAGCTAAGCAAAAATAATCCCTCTTGACTTTGAGAAACAGAGAGATGTTAGGTGAGTGTTGTTGATGATCTTTTTCCCTGGGCTTGAAGGATGAGTATAGTTAGTTGCTTCTGAAGATAATGCATGATGGGTAGAAAACAGCTAACATGTGTATAGGCAACCTTGAATGTGCAAATGGCTGCCTAGAAGTTACTGGGAAAGAGCTTACTTAGGCTTCTCTCCTTACAACACTGTTTTAGGCAAAGTAAATGTTACTTGTTTAGAGGAAGAAATAGGGACCTAGAAGTTAAATAATTTAATCATGGGCCTACCAGATTGAACTCTGGACTAGACTCAGGTGTGACATTACTATTTTACCACTTTCCTAAGCTGCTTACCGTTTTTTGTTTTCAATGTATTTGAAAGAGACAACAGGCATTATGATAGGGAATGCTGGTGTCTCAAAGTAGCAGCTTAAGTTGCACAAAACCCCACCCCACCATTTTGTCTTCTAATTTGTAAGATCCTCATCTACTGGTTCACCCCCCAAAAGGCTGCAATGGCTGGAGCTGAGCTGATGGAGCCAGGAGCTGCTTCTGGGTCTCCTGTGTGAGTGCAGAGTCCCAAGGTTTTGGGCCATGCTCTACTGCTTTCCCAGGCTACAAACAGGGAGTTGGATGGGAAGTGGAGCAGCTGGACACAAACTGTTGCCCATAGGAGATCCTGGTGCTTGCAAGGGGAAGATTTATGCAATGAGCCGTTGTGTAGACCCCTTAACTTCACTTCTAATTCACACATACTCAATCCTCAATTTCCTGTTTCTCTATTGAAGCCCCCTGTTAGCCTCTTAGTCTCAGTACACACCCGAAGGCCATTACATTTTAAGGTCTTTGGAGGGAATATGAGAGAGAAAAGGAAAGGCAGTTCTCTCTGAATGAGGTAAGAGTGGCAGCAGAGTGGTGTCAGACTCTGTCTTTGACTAAAGCTTGGAGCACTTGAGACTAAGTCTCTTTCCTCAGTAAGCCATTGAGAACAAGTTGTCTGTTCAACTGATGTTTCACACACAACTTAAACATTACATTATGCCAGTTAATAGTCCAGATATTTCACATTTTGAGGGAATGGGCTGCACACCAGGGATGTGAGACACAAACATAAGCAGGGAGCTAGATGGGGAGCGGAATAGCTAGGACAGGAACTGGTACCTGTTTGAGATGCTGGGCTTGGAGGTGGAGGAACAGTCAGTAGAAGCATTTCACTGGCCTCATTTGCCATTTATATTTACCTTAGATGCTGCTAGAAATCATGAACATTTTTCAGATGAAAAATGAACTACTCTGAAGACTTTTTTCATATTATGTATGTGTATACTGGTTTATGAATCTACATGAAAGACTTCCTACTTATTCCCATGAAATTCTTCATAATTAACTTTTGGCCTATTGTTTATAAAAAGTATCTTCTAGATATTTGATTGGCTGTTCTTAATTGTGCAAGTCAGATGCACATGCTATTTTTCTTTTAAATAGAACATCTTCTTAGGAAAATTTTATGAACAGTTGTGATGTTATTTAAAATGTAAACGATTATTGCTCTTTAAACATCTTTAATTATACTACCAGTTTAGAGCAATCTTTCCTTAATCAGTCTCACAAGTAAATATGAAGTTTTAGTTGTATTGCCACCAATGAAAAATAATTTTGAATTGTCATCATTTTTATCATTATTACTTCAAAAGCTCAATTATAATTCTAATCTCAGGATATTTCAGTGAAATTGAAAGGTGGTTCTTTTTCTTAAGACATGCCATCAAAGATGCTTAGCAAACATGCTTTGCAGTGATGGTTGTTTAGAATTGTTATGGAGTTATTTAAACGGACATAGTATTATACGCTGAAGAGAGAACGTCTTTTTTTGTTCCGCAATATCCTCCTCATAAATTAGGTGAATTGCCTTGAAGTTATGTTTCTAGTATTTCTGACAGAATGTATGACTAGGAATGCTTATATATTGTAGCAATTAAAGACAATTCACATTTGTGGTTTGGGCATAAATGTGTAAAAATTATACTCATCTATCTTACTACATTTCCTCTCTCCTCCCTGAGGACTTTAGTATGTACTTTATCTGTAATTGTTGCCAGTATTCTATCATGTTCCCACTGGGCTTCTGGTGCAAAAAATCTTATCCTCTTGATGACAGAGCTTGCCGGAGTGATTTCATGCTCCTAGCATTTTTGTTCACGGGAATTAGGGGCAAAATGTAACTACAGCTGAACAGAACGTCTATTTTTGTAATTTTGGAGTTTAGGCTCTGTTATTGGAACTAAATGAAGAGATGCAGGTGTTCCCAGTCCAAACCCTTTGGGAGTTTTGATGGTAGATGTTTGAAAGGAAAATGCATGTGTTTTCAGAGTCAAACAGCAGCTGTGAGACAAGGATTTATGTTTTTCTCAGAACTTTGGGATTTCAAAATGTTACATTTAATCACAAGCACAGAAAGGGGAGCAAATGTTAAAGATGTTACGCATAAAAGTAAGTTTACTGATCTTTTTACCATATGAACCAGTTGTGGGAATATAGGAACAAAGTGATCTTTAAGCTTAATATAAA